GTGCTATACCATTTAGCTACAGAGGAAGCAACTGGTGAGTAAAGTCAAATTGCTGTTTTTAATACTGTTTATTATAAACAGAGAATTTACTTGAATATCTGTATCTATAAAAGTAATGTATAAACAGAAAAATAATAAAATAATTGTTGAATTTACTCTAATTCATAATAAATGTTGTCATTTGTTTACGTTAAAGCACGCTTCGAGGAGATATGATTGTTCGAGAAAAATCATGGAAAAATTGATGTTTAAAAACAGTACTTTGACTTTGCCAAACATACGCTTCCTATGTAGCTAAATAGTATAACACGTCAGGCCAAATAACGGTACCGTGTAGGATGAAGGTTCAATTCCTCTCGAGATTTCTCGGATATTCAGGCCGGTAAATGTAGTTAATAGTGTTTATTAGAAACATAACATTTACTTACATATTTGCATTTATAAAAATAACGTATAAAAGAGAAAAAAAAATATATTTATATATAGATGTGAAATATATACTTATAGGCTATGTTAACTGTATGGGTAAAAGTGCCCAATATCTGTAATTGAACATGGCCACCGAAATCATACTTGAGGGGTGACAATATTTCATGATCGAAAGTTTTCACACATTGACAGTATACTGTGTTTAAGCATGAAACAGTCTGCAGTGTCCAATTTTATATTAAAATCACACACACACACACACATACGCACACACACGCACACACACACACACACACACACACACACACACACACACACACACACACACACATATATATATATGACCATTTTGAAAAATCCTTTTAAAAATGCTTCCTCTGGTAGGATTCAAACTTTGGTTACTTTTGTGAGGTCAACGAACACTCGTTGTCACTTTCGTAATGTTCGTTGTAGTAGAGACTCTGTAATCGCAGATACAACTATAGTACAACTTTGAACAATACTGGTGTCAAATGTCTTCGAATATCATTCGCACTAGTAGTACTTGCTCGATAATACTCGCTCGAATAGTAATCCGTATAGTGACTGCAGTAGAGAAGTAGTATAGTGAATAGAGTAGAGAATAGCGGCCCGTATATTATAGAGGATAGACTAGAAACAGTGATCCTAAAAGTAATAGAGGATAGACTAGGAATGTAGATCAATTAGACTTCACGCTACTTTCCTATATATGCGTTTCGTCTATAGTCACGTGGCCAACTTAATTCAATAATGGGATCGCCTGTGTTTGATCACTGTCGATCTCTGTTCAAACTCAAGTGTCGACAGCTACACTTTATCCTTATTTCAGTCACCTATTGCAGGAGAAACCATCATTAGATCCAATGTCCTTTAACCAACGCGACTACCAAGAACGACGTGACTAAACAATGTTCTGTACCGCCTCGAAGTATATTTCTAACGAAAGTTCGTAACTACTCAGTTTAGTAGCTGAAAGAAAGTAATTTCTAAAGGAATAAAGCTTTTTTTTGTATTTATTAATCCCACATATTGTTATCACTTTAAACGTTTTTTTTACTGGATAACCATATCTGAGTAGGTTGCAAATACTATTTTATTCCATCTATCGCTCTACGAAGGTTCGAATCCTGTCGGAAGACATTTAATTCCGACGCTCTTTGTAGCCGAATTAGTTAAAGCCCGCCGGATCTGAAGATAGTTTCTTCTGTAAAGGATGACGCAGATTCGAAGACGATTTCTTGAATAATCTGACCGGTGGACGAATCAAAATAAACTGAGCGTTTTCTCAAATATGAGTACCCCCTATAAATAGCGTTTCAAGTGATAAAAATATGTCAGATTAATAAATAAAGTATCCATTAGTTCTTTAGAAATAAATGTATGTATGCATGTTTAAGTACGTCTGTATATATGTTCATATTCGTATATGTATATGCGTGTGGTGGGATTAATGTAGGCATCAGCATTATCGTCTGTCGGTTAACTTTGATCGTTCGTGCGCATTCCCGCCGTTTTTCCGCCGGTGTCAAGTGCTTGAACATCCGCCTCTCGATACTTCGGGTGAATGGGATGGAGGTGAAGTACTCAGGAAGAATCTTTCTTCTTTTCTCTCTTCCTTCCTCGCCGAGTCTTCATTCGCGGCCAGGAAGTAATAAGAATATGGGAAAAATTTGGTTCCTCGAGATTCTTTTCCCAGACAGCACCTGCCCGATTCAATAACATGAGTAAGATGACAGTGCAGGTCTTGTGCTTAAAGCAAATCCGACAGAACCATATAATATATATATATATATATATATATATATATATATATATATATATGATAACGAGGTCAACACCGAGCGGTGATTGCATTTCATGTGTGAGCACAATCTTCCGTCCATATGAGAAGAAAGATTGCATTCAAGCAGGAAATAGACTGTCGCCCCTAGATGTTGACCTCAGCGACGAATTATATATTTACATACGCTCTATTATTGCAATTGACCCAGTTTACTCGTGGTCTGACGATTGCATCTAGCAGTCACCTCTAAGTGTTGACTTCTATGCTCACTTTTATATTTACACCCGCTCTATCTCTGATATTGAGAGTTTTATCCCATAAATATAGCACATCTTAAGACTATATTTATATATATATAT